TTTTTTATAAAAGTAATGCATTAAACAAAGCTTTCAAATTTTATGCCAAAATTTTGAAAAACTACTAAATTAAAAAAAAAACGAAAAATTTTAAAAATTCTATAAAAGTTAACCTTTAGAAAATTTTTGAGTATGCTGTTTTAAAGCCCATATAAATTTAGTAAAAACAATGCAAGTTTCAAGTAAATTGCATTGGTTGTATGAAAAAATCCACAAAAGCCCGGCTGCAATTAAAAAAAAAAAACGAGAGGAATGTACGAAATTTTTATGAAATTTTACTAAATTTTTCATAAACTTTGGAGCTTCTATTTACATACATATTTTTGGTTAATTTTTAGAGAAAAAGAATCAAAGAATTTTAATTTGGAAAAAATTGTGAATATTTAAACAAGTAATTTTTAGCAAAAAAAAACCGACTTCAACTCCCATATAAAAATATATATATATATATATATATATCTCATGATCCACTGATCGGATCTCAACCAGATTAGTATGGGACCACCTCTGAGACACTACCTTTCCGATGCAAAAAGAATTATCGGTTGACGTGGTCCAAAGTTATGCGGTAACATACATAAAAAAAAAAATAAAATAAAAAATGTTCCGACCAACTGATAACCTCCTCCTTTTTTGGAAGTCGGTTAAAAATTGACATGTGAAGATTTGTTTAAGTCACTGTCAAATTAATTATGTTATGTAGTCAAATTAATTAAAATTATTTTTTACAGTGGGCAGAGTTTTCCACTTTTTGGTCCAAAATCCAATTTTAATAAATGCATAGAACGGCCCTAAACACAATTATTATCTTGGTAAATCTATGCAAATTAGAAACATATTTTCCAATATAACACTTGAACTCATTAAACAAAACGGATCCCTTTTTACCCTGTTTTAAAGAATGCTCCACAAAAATTATAATAACCAAACGTCAACAGGGGTCACCGTAGCAAAAATCCTCCTGACTTCTGGTCTCTAAAACTGTAACTTATTTATATATATCTAGACAAAACATGCTGGTTGAATGCCGTTGGCTGGCTAATGCCTCAAATACACTTCATAAATCAAAGGCCCGATTGAGAAAGTTATACGCCCTTTGTGAAAACTGCAGTAGAATTTTAGGACCTAGATATATCGCAGGCTTGTAACTGAACTTCGCCAAAAAACTTAAGTCTTCCCCTGCCAAATCATTCATTACACATTTTTCCCCTAAACAAATCTAACAGATAGTGAGGTCAATATCTAAATAAGTGAACATTCTTTTTAGATTGCTTGTCAGATTTTCATTTCCATCCCTCTATTGGTATACTTTTGCCCAAGACGGCAATATCTATTGTAAATTCAAGAGGATGAGGGAAGCGTGGGGTCTACCTTGGGCCTGTTGGATCTGACGCGGTTGCTGTTGCTGCATGTTGGTGGGTGGCTGCAATGAGAGCGGTGTTGTTTACGTCAGCGGTGCTCTACAGCATGGGGCACTGTAGTTGGTAGTGCACTCGCGTGTGGTGCATAGGCCAGAGCATATGCGGAAGTGACACCAGCCAAGGCATGAGCTGCATTTGACTGATGTCACGTTCCGGTATATTCTGTCTTGGCATACGAAGCAGATGGTGTGGGCAACAAGGAGCTGCTGGTTGGCTCGCATACGCGAGTTGGACCGCCCAGTAGACTGTGGGGGAGGTGGGGGTTGGGAGGTTTGCTGTTGCCCAGGGGAGTTTCTAGGAGCCGTGCAAGCTCTTCGGATGCTGGGTGCATTACGTGAGCGGGTAGCCGTGGATGCTGATTGTGCCGTTTGGCTTAAGCAACAGGCGGCCACATAGCGTGTGGTCCACTCCCGGTGAGACCTAAGACCAGAGCAGGATCTTAGGTGACTCCATCCGTTGCTTGAGTTGCACCTAACCGAAGTGGATTTCGGATGGAGTCAATTCTAGCAAACACAGAAGAAGTATGTTTCTGGTCCGGGGTTGGGCTCAACGTCCGCCCGGAGAAGAAGGATGCGGAGCAATCCGGCTGCAAGGAGTTGCTCCATGGACGAAAAATGATTGAGGGATATCGCCGATCTAAACGGGGTTAGGTCGCCGAAACAACAGTCCTTGGTCGGGTAAAACCCGACCGTCGTAGAACCGGCTGTCGTGGGAATGGAATACCGGGAATGGAATTGATGACCTCTGCTCAAAAGTAAACGACTATCTCTCCAGCCTTTCTCGCTTCTTCACTGCAAGGAGCCTAACACTCTCCCCAACGAAATCAACGGCGAAACCTCTTCACCACCTGGACGAAGGAGGTCAGGGTAGAACTAGGTATACACGTCGATGGCATCGACAGTAAACAACCCAAAAATTTTAGGGATCACACAACCGCAGTCGTCAATAAAGTACAGAGCCGCAACAAGGTCCTTAAGTCGCTTGCCGGCAGCACTTGGGGCAAAGACAAGGAATCGTTGCTGGTTTAGAAGTGCCGCTACAACAACAACAGATACCGCCGCTATCAAAAAAAGATTGCTTACTTTCCTTTATTTCGGAGATAGGCCTTATGCCTTAAGAAACTCTAGAATGTTTAGCTTTTCTCAATACCGCACACAATGTTGTGCTCCGAGCCTGGTTTCTAACAATAATTTAAGCACAAGTAAGTGTTGCCAGAATGAAAAAATTATAATTATACAACTGGTAGTATTGTGGATATCTAAAAAGTTGGCGTAGGTTTGTCTGAATGTTTCAACGATACTCAAACCCAACTCAAACTATTAGCAGTGTGTCTAATACATAGATTATAGGATTATCTTCAACTATCGAGTGAAATAGATCTGAGGGTCAATATGCAAGGAGAGAATTATCTATCTTATCTACTTATGTATCTTCAACTATCTTAGATACTAGACTATCCTATTTGCTACAGTTTGCATCTAAGCCCCTCCTCTTAGACTTAACTTAAATTACTTACGTTTTCAAGTAAAAAGTAGCAATCCGAATAGTAAATATGCGAAAATAGTTTATAAAAAGAATTTAAAATCTTACTTACCACGTGACACTTTAGGCGTGATTTACGTAATAATTTTTTGCATTCGGTTCTCATTTGTTTAAGTTCTAATGCAGCACTAAGTGGTTGCAAATGAATCGGTTAGTAATCAATGCTGTATTACCGCTTCATCATCATAAACCTCTAATTTCTGTTCTAAGGAAAATTTAGTTTTTTTTTCTTCATAAATGTTTTGTATGTAATTTGCAGCGATTTTTTTTTGCACTTTTATTTTGGGATTACTAAGTAAAGTGGATCAGGAAGCAGAGTGTGGCAGCGCGCTAACTACAGAACTATGCGCTCTAAGCGATGTGGGAGTTACGTCTAAGCTATGTATATGTTGCTTAAGCTTCGTGGACATGTATGGCGTCCGCGCGGACAAAAGACGCATCGTAGAGGTTATAGGACATTTCTTTGTTCTTTTTTTTTAATGTATTTAGCTGCCGAAATCTTTGGACGATTTATGATTTAAAAAATTTTGCTTTCCATTATTCATGCTTTCTCCTTATTCTTCTACGAATGTGTCATCCAAAGTAGCGTGATGCCAGCGCAGGTGCATTTTGGAAACACGTTTCTAATGCGCTCATCTTTTGTTTTTTTTTTCTTTTTGTATTTACATTTAGTGAAGACTTAGATAGGTTTTTCGCTTCAGGTAACCACTGCGAATGGGCGAAGATAATCCAGTTTCGTTGCTATTGTTGTTATTTCATTTTGATTGAGTTTGTTGTTGTTGACGGTGTAGGATAGTTACACATATAGTGAGAAAGAGATAAAGACGTAGCGGTGTTGGAGTGATGATGGATGCAGTAGAGATAGCAGTTACATATTTGTTGATGAAATGGGAAGAGAGTATACATACAAAACAAAAATAATAAAAAAATTATGAGTAAAAAAGCGTGTTCGATGAGACTTATTTAGAAATAGAGCTTATGGTGATATACATTTATACATATAAGATTATTTGTGACCAATCGAATTAACGCACAATGTGACCAGATTGACAAAAAGAAAAAGTACCAATATTTTACAATATTAAATTTCAACTAATTTTGTGTAGTTTATTTATGAATGATAATTTAGTTTTTGGTTTCTTTTGTGTAGATATTTTTGGTTTTTTAATGATGTTTTTTAAATTAGCTTTAAATTTATTTAATCTACAATTTTTAACATAATTTTTGTGTAGTTGTTTTTTTTATATTTTTGTTTAATTTAAGTCAAAGTTTTATTTAATTGCTGATTTGAATGTTTTTTCGTGTTTTTTTTTTATTTAAAAATTAAGCGTAGGTGTTAATAAAATTTACCATTTTATTGTTTGATTTATTTGCTTGCTAGCTTGTTTGTTGCTGTTGTAGCTTTGATTGTTTTTGCTTTTTACTTGCGTTTCGCATACAATGATCTTGTTGTTGTTGGTGGTGGTGGTTTTGGTGAGTACGAGACAAAGGTGTGACATTCGCAATTTACATTAAAGCATCCGGTTGCTCATGCAGCCTAAATACACAAGAAACGGCACAAAATGGTTGATGAGGATAGCGGTGGGTGGTTGTGGTGTGGTGTTCAAATTGGTGGTTTTAAAATGTGAAATAAAAATTGTATACAGCAAATATTCGACGAAGTTTCGAATAGGTTGCGGAAAAGGTGATGATATGGTGGTGGTTTTAGGTGTTGGTTGTTTTCGATTTTTAATTTATTTTTTTTTTTGATGATGTTTCGAGTTGGTAGTTTCGGTTGTGGAAGCGTTTGCAATGTGTCCATATAAACACGTTTAAATCAGGTATAAACGAAAGTCAATGGGGTAAGAAATGAAATCCAGAGAGAAACAATATGAAAGAAACACATCGTAAATTCAAATTCAATAAAAAACTTCATTTGCATTTGTTAGTTATTAGTACAGACATACATATGCACAGCTATAAATATTTATTTACATAAACTAATCTAAATAAATACTATATTGTGTTTTAAATTTTTTATTTTATTTTTTCTTCGCTAAATAATTGCACACTTTTATCCACTAATGTGTAATGATATGTGTTTTTGGTTTAACTAATTCGAAATAAAACAAATAAATTCGTCTAAATTTTGCTCGCTTAGAAAATACTAAGCTAAGTGCTGTTAATATTCCCATCACTGGCTGCTTGTTACAAACGTACATACGTATGTATGTATATGCGTACATATTTACATATATTAGTAGCTCATTCGTCTGCAGTTTTCTCATATGCGTTGCTGTTAAGGTAAACATAATTATTTAAAAGAAAAATAAACAAAATAATAAAATATCAACGTTCAATCTTATTTCGAAAAACATATAAACACAAAGAGTAAGTAATTTGTTAAAATTGGTAAAACATAAAATTGTTTTAAAAAATTCGAACAACAACACATCGCTATTCAACAACCAGACAAATGTTTTTCCCTATCGTACTTACAAACTTAGTTATTTATGCACATACTATACATATTTAAGATGTTAATAACTAGAACAACTAGTGATGTGAAATGTTTAATTTTTGGTATGGTCACAATGAAAATCATGTTCTGGTAGATATACTCAAGCATTTAAACACGCCTCGAAACTTAACGTACGACGAGTCGTATCAGTAACATCTGAGAACAATTCACATTCAAATATCGGTTACAGGCTGAGCATTCTCTATAACGGCTTGCCAATGCGTTGAAATTAATAAATTACTAGCCAATCACCGCTTGCTTTGCGGCACCTTAAAACATCTCTCAAACTGTAAAACAAACATTCAGTTCGGTCAAGAAACACGACAGAAATGGTATGGCAAACCTATTCAAAAAACATTTTCGAAAAAATCTTTCTTAAACCTCTAGCGTTTGAATTCGAAATAAAAGTTCTATTCTAACTTAATTAAATTTATTGGGTGGCGACCCTCTTAAGAACCATCAAGATTTCTTAAACCTCTCGTGTCTGGTAATCATATTTTTATATTTCATTAAGCTTGTTAATTAAACTAATAATTAAACAGGTGGCAACCTGTTTCACAAATATTTCAGGAATAAAGATTTTTTAACCTCTCTCATTTGATACACATATAAAATTATTAAATTTAACATGTTAATTAAATTGATTTTAACTTAAAGAGCAAGTGGCAACCCTCTTAAAAATTATTTCGAAATAAATCCTTTTCGTAGTCCTTTCGTTTGTTGTAATATTTTATTTAATATATTAATTAACTGCTTGTAACTTATTTCAATAAAAAAAGGTTGCGAATTTTTTTAAAGAATATCCTCTATGTAAAACCAGGCACTAAGCCCCATCTAAGTGCAGCATTTCACATCAATCCGTTCAGCCGTTTTTACGTGATTGAGTAACAAACATCCAAAAAACTAAAACCCTCATATTTATAATATTGAGTAGTACGACTCAACAAATATTGTTAATCTTCGGCGGCTGCACTTTCGCACGTTTCCGAATTTTCAAGATGAGGCCAAATCACCCTGGGTGGGCTCGTTAATAAGTAAAATTGCTGAATGTGGGGTAGTGAGGAATTACGGCTATATTGAGTGACGTTGAGTACAACATTCTCAGGACTTTGAATTAGTGAAGGATATAGCATAAATACCAACAATTATTATTTTCGGTCCACGCTCTTTATATATTCTTCGAAGTCTAGGAACTCAGCTAGAATTATTGCACTACGATCTTTTGCCTGTGGGTATGAGGCGATCCTTAAAACTTTTCAAATTTCAGAACCAAAACTTTGACAGAACCAGTTTTCTTTAAAATTACTAAATTGGTTTATTAATCAGTAACTGCTTCATCTATGCATTTAAGTTTTTCGTTAAGAAAATATTTTTTTGGGAATGATCAACAATGACCTGCAGACTGGTGGCGTCTTCTAAAAAAAAAAAACAAGTTTTCTAGGGCTCAGATTCAAGTTCTAAGTTTCGCTCAATGAAGATTTCAGTTTTTGCCGAGCAAAAGATTGTGTAGATGCGCTAACGTTGCACCAAGCTCGAAAAAGTACTCAAAATTCTGAAAGCTCTTGTACCAGTTCCTTTCCATAAATGAACAGTAAGTCGATAAATTGATAACACTTTACAGAAAATAATGCTTATTTCTTATATAACTTGTAAAAACTACTCATTTGCAGTTAATTTTTGTTTTACAAAATAATTGAAGAATTTACAAAAAATAGCGAACCAAAACAATTAATTTCATTGTGACCATCCAAACAAAAACGAAAAACATAAACAAAAAAGCTAACTAAGTAAAATCCCTCTAGCCAAGTCTTTCGGTGTGTTTGTTTATAAATACATATGTACAACTATTTAGTATCAATACGTGTAAGAATATACACGAGGACATTACAACATTTAACACACAATTCTATACAATCCCATTCACATACCTTCTGCGACGTGGATTCGATGCCTGGCCAGGTAAATTGAAACAGCCACGCGGTATTACCATGCGCGCATTACCCTTGGCAGGACGAGAACCGCCCACTACCTGCAGACCAGCTAAATGTGCAGCGTAGCCATCACTCAAGACCGTGGCACTCGATTGCAACTTTTTGCTAACCTAAAAATGCAAAATATATATATACAAATACTGTACCAACGATTGCCCATCGTCCAGCCCCTAACCCAAACAAACTTACCTTGCCCACAATGAATATCTGATCGGCCCGCAAACCAACATTTGCGTAAACAGTTATATCTTTGCTGCTACCATAAGCAGCCACAATTGAGATTCCATGATTCTGCACTAAATTATTCAAGTATGCTGTCTTGTGACCAAGTGGATCAGTGAGTAATCCATCAGCGAATGAGATCAGCCCATGTGGGAAGTTGTGCTGGCTTAGCCATGATACCACCCGCTGCTGTTGCATATCCGGCCGTCCGGTAATGTAGATCAACAAGTAGCCCAACTCTTGCCAATGGCGACAGACATCAACAGCGCCAGCGCGTACCTTCGGATCACGCCCCGTCACCGACATTGACGCCGTAAAGGAACCATCAATACTAAAGACTACACATTCAGTCATTGGCGGCACTATGGCTACATAGCAATCAACGGATGTGTGATCGCCGCGCACTATCATTTTCACCGGGTAGATGCCATAGCCCAATGCGACTTGTTCGGGAATGGTATATGCAATGCGGCCATTTTTATCGGTCAGCTCGGTGGCAAGGAATGTCCATTCGCCAGCTGGTGGATCTTTCATTAGATGTATATCGACCTTTTCGCCGTGCAAAGTAATCATATCGAGAGGGCCATACATGAAACGTGCATTGAGGCGTTGTTCTCGTCCCTCTAAAACTATAACATCGTTGGCGCGATGATTAGCAGCGACATTTTTCAGTTTAACTGAAGTGCGTTTCTTCATCCATTTCTCACGTGGCTGACTTGGATGGAAGGTGACTGTGTCTTTGTCATCGGCAGAGCCGACAAATGGAATGCCATCGAATTTGCCAATCTGAAATTTTAATTTTTTTTAGTAATTAAGTACTTAGTTTGACAAAGAAAAACAAAACTATGTATTTATTGAGAGGTGATTCGAAGAAACGAAACAGTACTCCCTGTTCAAAAAGGAAAGTGGATAGTGGGTACAGTTAGTTAGGGATGGCATCAGTTCTAAAACATACATAATCTTTACTTAAACTCTTAACAGAGAAGAAAGCAATCGTTATAGAGTGAGAACAGTTTTAGTTGGCTAGGAACACTTTTTGGGAACAGATTTAATTTTCACCAATACATGAAAGACTGCGCTAAAACTATATGTAAAAAGCTCTAAGTCGTTTATTAATTAATTTGTTTACTTAAATACTCACCTGGCGCAGAACGAACGCAATTACATCCGCACTTTCCCAGTAACTAGCATGGAATAGATGCGGCAAGGCATGAGCTGGAAAATTACTCAAGCCTTCCGGGCAATACAAAGCGTAATCTAAACGCTTTGTGCCCCACCATTTCATTTGAACTGGAAATAAATAGGATATATTTAATAAATAAGTATCAGTGATTTGAAAAGAATTCGCTGTAAATGCGTACTAAAATCATTTTAAAAATACTTCACAAACATTGGTTGGGATTAAAAATAGGAAAAATCTAACTATGTGTTTAAAAATTTACTTTCCAGAACTTTACAGTAGTATCTAAGGATTCTAAGTGTTTACTAGCAACTTACGTGAGTGGATTGTACTTAGCGATACATTTTCAATTAGACCAGAAATAGTACTTTGCATTGAGGCATCTGATAGACGTCGGCCGGCCAGAATATTGTTAGCATCGCTAAAATGCTGTGGATGCGATTGAATGACCTCCACTGCAGGAAAATAAACGATTTAGATTCACAAAAATGTTAATCGAAATATATGAAATACTTACGTAAATGATATGGCTGCCCATTACCCAGCGGATACTTGGCATATCGTGGCACATTTACCGGCGCCAATATGGAAAACCTAGCGCTGAGCAATGGCTCCAGTCGGGAAGCAATTGGATCGGTAGGATGGAATAAATTGTACACCTGATTACAGTTTGGGCGTGCCAGCGCTATGGAGAAAACAATTTGACTTAGTGTGCAATTGTTCCTCCCTCAATTGCAAAACACTTACCCGCCTTGGCATCGTGCAGTTTACGTGCTGCCAACACGATGGAAAGCGGCGAACCGAACATGAAGAAATCACCTACTTCAAAATCTAATTTGCCACTACGAGAATCACTCGACGATGAGCGTCGACGACGCGGCGAAGGTGCCACCAAAAGACGTTTTGCATCCAAATCCGAGTCATTGAAGCGGTCATCGTCGTCGGTGCGCGATGACCGACTTCCACCACCATCCGAACCATTGCTACGGCATAGCGCCTCGTAGGCCAACAGCGAACCCATCGAATCACCCAGCATTACCACTTGACCGGCGAAACCGTGACCCTCTTCGGATTTAATAAACTCATGATAGACAATATTTGCTGCAGTCACTGTCTTATTAACGGTATCTTGAAATTCTGGCGAAGCGACCGATAGCAGTGGTATTGCGCCAATTGGTATATCAGCTATATTTGGTATATCCGCCGCCGATGGCGATGCATCGAATGAGTATGGACTAAGACTTGAAAGTATGCCCAGCGCATCGGTACAAAAGGAGGGACATGGCACCATTTTAATTGTGACATGACTCAATAGACTGGGATAATGTTGGCGCATAACGCCCTCAAAAGCGCCACGAAATGTGGTAATGTCTGACTTCTTGGCGGTCAGCTCGCTGGTGGCGTCTAAAGGTAATATGAAAAATATAAGTAAATGCATAGCTGAGTGGAACACATTTTCCTTGCTACTTACCTAAGACGCTGCCCGCATGCACTACAAGTATGAGTATGGTGGTGGAGCAAGATGGCGCGCCGGGCGAACCCGGTGGCGACGCATCATGGGTGCGATCTACGCTAGCCGAAGAACGCAGCTGTCGCTTATTGCCACGCTCGGAGGCAACACGCATTAGGAAGTCTTGATTGAAAATACTGTCTTCTTGACTGTCTTTATACGCGACACCACTACTCGGTGGCGGACTGTCGTCACCTTCGCCGAGCAGCTCAAGCGAACTCCATTTGGCGAGGGAGTTGGTCTCGTTGGTATCTGAGAAAAAAAAAACAGTTATAAGAGATGGTAACATACATAAAAATTGTAATTCAGTACATACCAACGCAATCGAAGAACTCTTCATCGGAGTTGGATTTGGTGTCCACCTCCAGGCGCTCCATGCGCCAATTTGCAACCTAAAAGGGCGAATTTATTTGCATTAGTTTTTGGTTTGATGAACAATAAGTTATTGTGCATTTTTAGTTTCGTTTGGAAACTGGAAAATTTCTACATGAAATTCAAGTAACCCAACAAAAGAACTAAATACATTCATTTCATATATAAAAAAAACTTACATTTTTATGGTGAACATTCTTAGCATGCGGCTATTAGTAGATTTCGTTTTTGTAAAAATATCAAACAAAACAATTATATTAAATATAGGGAAGGCAGAAAAATGCATAGTTTGAAAACAAAGAAAAGGTACTTGAATATCTTGAAGGCATTCATTTTGAGAAGTTAAAAAAAAAACTAATTTAGTTGGATTGCGTGAAATGGCGGCCAAAAAGGCCTTGACTTGGCTACAAATAAATGAAACTGCACTTAAAACTGTTTTAGCTCATTCAAAATTAAAACCACTTCAAAGGATCGTAAAACTAAAGTGTACAAATTTTGTCTTTCAGAGGTCGCTTTCTAGAATGTTCTTTCACACAAAAATCAGTCAATTCAGGGGCATTTTATCACGAGACATAAGACCGGGCATTAGGGTGGTTCAAAAATACATGCGGGGAGAAGAAAATTTTAATTTTTTTTTTAACAAATAATACGGGTATATTTTATTCCATTTACAAAAATTCCTGGGGGTGAGATCTTAACATTAAAATTTTTTTCGATTTCAAAATAATAACTATTAGCTTAAGAGGAAACTCACATAAAACCACTATAAATAACGCGTTGAGTACCAAAGGGCAGTAGGCTCTTCAATTGCCTCAATTATCTCAAAGAATTACGAAATAACCGTACTTATGTACTTCGAGATTAGATTAAGTTGCTGTATTTAACCCGCCCATTAGTGTTGCCAGGTCGTTGACGTGAAAAATCGCCAATTGGTTCCCGAAAAAACCGTCAAGTCAAGAGACAAAAAATAAATATATATATCTATGCACTGAGTTAAATAAAATTAATATTAATGTACTGAAAACAAAATTTCGTGATAGAAGTGATATATTTATCAGCGATTTTTATATCGAACTTTTTAAATTGGAAAGTAGCCTAAAAACTTAAGGGGAAATATAATTTTTACCCGTATGGTATAGTATCCGGATATCATTAAAAATGCATACCCATATTTACTCTTTATGTACAGATTTTGAATCGTTTCGTATATGTATTGTACATAAGATGTACGGAAACTTTTTTCAAAAATCCTTAGAGTTTAAAAAATAGGCCTCACTTTCACTTTCAGAATATATAGAAAACTTTTATTTTGGGTCTTAGATTCCTGTGTTATAGGGCTAAAAGCCCAATAGTAGGTATTCTAAAAAAGCAAAAAATAAAAATAAACAATTTAAAAATCGGCATTCAAAATCTCGCACCAGCTTTGAAAAGGATATAATTTTTATTATCCACTAATGAAGCACTGAAAAAAAATCATAAATTGTTCGTCGAAATCGTCAACTCGTCATGGCAACTAAAACCCGTCGAAATGACGACCAAATCGGCAACCTGGCAGCACTGGTTGTGGTGCCGAATGGGATAAAATGTTTGCAAAATTCTCAAAAATATTCCAAATTATTGAAGACTATCCGCTTCGGAAGACAAGTGTTCGTGCTGGATCTCACACCAAATACTGCAATATTGTTTCCTCATCTTTCTCATCTTGATCGCTTCTACAGATGTCGTGGGATATTACGTTCGTATATTGCCGGCCGATTAGGCAATGTTCTGCAATCACAGAAGCTACATTGCTAATTGGCTGTGCTGCTCTATCCTCCCTAGCTAAGCGTCCTATGCAATATAAGCCCTAGGTATTTCGTTCGTTCCGTTTCCCTGCTATCTTCTTGATATCTAACTGGGCGCTCACCTAATTCCGAATTTAAGACCCTTCAGTTTTATACTCGTTCGATAAATTTCTTAATCCCGGATGTGGTTTCGTTTTCGGGTAGACATTGTTAAAGGCACCGCGATCTCTAAAAGGAGATCCAGTATAGTCTCTGTAGTGCAGTGATTTCTAAACTAAGTACATGAGTAAATGCAGTGCTCTTGATATATTTAGGCGTGTTGGTTAGTCGAGAGTTTGCTTCCGATTTTGTGTCTATCATTAGCCCTTAAGGTGGTACGTAGATATATTGTTCAGTCTTAAGTCCTGTGGTAGTGGGCCTTAATCGGATAATCGCTTCAAAAAAGGCCACCAACACGAGAGCAAATAAATCTTCCACAATTTGCAGGTCAGCGGAGATGATTCTGTCTCCGGTGACTTATATGGTTGGAAGCTGCAGATAGAACTCATGATAGTGTTTTACGAAGTCTGCTAGGTTCTGAGGTGCTGTCTACGATTTGACAGAAGTCCCATCCCGATAACGTTTCACAAATATTTACCTGCAGAAATTCTCAAGCCTTTCCATTGTCTATTTTTGTCCTTAATTTTCAGCTACTTCATTGCTCTCCAAGATATTCAAAAGTACACGCGCACATTGAAAGCAGAAGGCACAAATTCAGTCACATATATCGCAAAAATGAGCAACATTCACATTAATAAAAAAAAACGTAAAACAGCACTTCCAACACCAAAACGTTCCGAAATGATTACACCCATAACATTTTAAACTCGCAAAACAAACTTCAACATACCTGCAAATCGAAGCTATGCGCCGATCCAACTGGTGAATGCAGTGCACCTTTCGAACCAAATTTCGCCTTAGTCATTTGTATGCTCTGCGAACGTGAACGTGCGCTCACTTCCTGTGCAGCCTCCTCCTCTTCATCCTCATCCGAGGTTCCTTCAGCGCTTGGCGGTTCTTGGGTAACAATAGGTGGAGGCGCGCCACCAGACTTTCGAAGTTCACTGCCCGTGCTGCCTGCAATAGGCCGCGCATGCAAGTCAGCCACGCTATCAGCTATTTAAAATAAAAATAATGAGTTTGCAAAACTTGCTCTTAAAATAATTAATTTTTTTTTAACTCCTCCACGCACCATCCTCCGCATCACTCTCGCTCTCTTCGGCACCACCCATTTTCTTTGCCAACGCTAGCTGCGTTTGACGCTCAATCTCACGTATATCTTCAATTGTCAGACCGTGCCACTCATCTTGCCACGCCCATGCCTGGCGATGTGCGCGCACCATGGTTTTCCGCAGTGCCACATCGTGTATGAATTTCTCGAGCTTAGTTTGCATACCCCAGTAACGAAACTCGACGCGACAGATTTTGTAGGCGCACATAAGCGACATATTGCGTGCTGTGGGCTGCTTCTTGCCCTTCACTTCGCGCCAATATTCCTCCAGCCAATCTTCGCTCAATGGACCGCGGCCGGTTTTCTCAGATACAAATAGCTTAGGATCTTCCTCCTTTACATAATCACCGCCATAGAGTTGATCCTTGACGATGTCAATGACGTCTGCAATGGAGAATAGCGCGCACAAAAAAAAAGTGTGTCAAATATGCAGTTATAAAGAAATGAAAGTGCTAAAAAGATTGAAATGAATAATTTGTTGAACACTCACCCACAATGCGATTTCTCAGGTCGCTGCCGCTCAAATTGAATACATTTTCCTGATAACCATTATCTGGGAAGTAATATGTTTCAATGTCCAACGAAAATTTCTCAACAAAGGGGCAGGTGTAGCGCGTGCGTGTGTAGGGATAAGCATTCCATGCCTCCTCCTCCACCGTCAGGGCGCTCTTTGGCAATAAACCTGTGTGGCAAAAAATGCTATAGTACTCGTAATTTATAATAATAGCAACAAAAACGGTAATAACTAAGTTTGGAATTAGCAACGCTCATTAAATTTAATTGAGTAGTTCTCATTAACCACTTGCCACTTAACTCACTTTTTATCCAACCGGGCAAATGGCTGCCCACATGATAGATTTTCTTCGTATACTGCCCACCATTCCCGCCGGGCCCATCTTTGTAGGGTTCATTAATGATAATTTCCACGCCACTTCCCTCGCCATGACTTTCTTCGCGACTTTTTTTCTGCAGTAAGAGGGGGGTGGAAAAGATAATTTGATTTAATGATTTACTATATGAACTCGTTATTTGCTTTGATTGCAAGTTCAATGTTGTTGGCCAATAATGTGGTGCGCGCGCCACTTACCGCTATCATATACAACTGTGCGATGCGATATTCCTCGACCGTAAGCGGTAAGGGTATACGGTATTCTTTTATCAACATTTTGCTGTGCTGCGAATGCCGAACTCTTTTCAGGGGGTGGACTCATATAACGCGTATTTTTGTCTGTAGTCAGTTACTTGTGACTAAATACTTTCCAACTTTCTAGTTACTTTGGTTACATTTAATTACTAACGCATTTTTGTTAAAGCAGTTTTTGCTTTGTATGTTCGGGCGAGTACTACTTGGTTGGTTCATGTCTTGTATTGAAGTAAGTAATCTGGAGTAGAATTCTGTGAAATGGAAGCATACATATTTTCGTTGTGAATTCACGATTACTTATAAGTATACATTTGTACATCTTCAAGGCCATTGCTGAATTCATCTAAGCTTTAATTCAGGAATTTTATGATAATGATTCCATTGAAACGTAATATGTATACTAGGGCGGTACTTAAAATGTCAACATTATGGAGCACCACTTTATTTTGTTCAACGTATAAAACAAAAATATCAACGAAAAGTTCCAAATTAAAAGTTTAAAAGATCGCTACCAGGGTGTGAAAAAATTTTATTTTTTTATTTCGGCAAAATTATACAGAATTTTTACTTAGACCAGCTATACCTCAGCGAGTTTATAAATTTTTGTGAATAAGTATCAATAGTATAACAAATTTATTAGATGCAAAGTCAAAATTTGGTCGAATTTTTGCGATTCTCATCATAAATTTAAATTTTCTGAAACCCTGGTAGGGACCTCTAATTTTATTTTTTTATTTATTTTTTAACTTTGATGGATGTCTTTATTTTGCCCGTAGAACAAAATAAAGGTGTTTGTGCCCCATACAAAATTAAGCTATTGAAATTTTAAAAGAACCACCCTAATGTATACGCTCGTAACGATTCGAATTAAGTTATAGCATTTTAGAAAATTTCACAAAATCGAACCTACGATGGATTTAGCAATAGGCCCGATTAGAATATTGATTATTTTCCGATATGTGTTTTACTATTATAATATTATAAATAAGGTTTAAAAAGCAACTTTTTAGAAATATTTGTATGTAACTTTGAAAAAAAATAGTATACCTCTTTTGTTTGCAATTAAAAGATTACAGTGTTATCTGGGTTTTCTACTGAAAAGCCCAAAAAAAAAACAAAAAAATTAATAAAGATTAACATAAATTTGAAATATTCCATGTCAATCAGATCATGACTGCGAGCAAAATTTTCAGTAATCGAAAGCTGTATATTTTAAAGATGAGCGTGTCTACTTTCAGAGGCTTCGAGCACCTTTCCGAAATTCAAAATAGCGTTTCTAACATGGCTTTCGAAAATCAAGAATATTTCAGTTTCAAACAAGAGGAATATTACCAGGGTGTCAGTTTAAATTGCCGATTTGTAGGCCCCATTTCGAATGCGCCATAGAGTAGTTGAACTTCCTACACCCGACCATTGAACGGTTGCGCTGCTGATAGCACCAGTGCCCCATTTCCAGAAGTCTTGCGTCCTTTCTTCTTATTGTTATCACTTAGTCTGTTCGTCCTCTCAAGTATGACGTTATACTACTGTGACTAAGTACGCATCTTGAATCCAAGCTGACCCAAAGCGTAAGATGTCTCGACAGTTGGCAATACTAAGTTCTTGCCGGTGTTGTCCTAAAGTCGACCATTCTACTGATCATTCAAATCCTCTAAACGTTCCTTTTTGTGAATAATATTGGCTTCACAAGAATTAGTCGAAAATGACCAATGCGAGAAGGCATGCGAATGTACTCTTATGTGCCTAAAAGGTTGCTACTGGTTACTTGGTTCTGCTCTATCACAGGAGTATAGCTCTACTTCACTTCCGTACCCCTTTTTCTGATGGCATATAGAGTTGAGGTCTTCAGATAACTGAGGGTGGTCAGACACTTATCACACACATATAGATATCGTCGTTTAAAGTACAAAACTGCGTAACTGACATTTTTTGCCAAAAATTGGATTTCCTCACCGAAGCTCTTGGCTCAAGCCTTATCCATTCGTTCTGAAATTTACTAGACAGAAATACGATTGCTTTATAAAAAAGAGAACAACTTTGAAATATGGGTGTTTTACTCTCTACACAATAATTTATGCAACCTCTCATACACGGTTTTGCATTATTTTGATACGCGGTTTTGTACTTTCAACGATGATATGTTCATCCTTCTAATTTCATCTGTGGTTTGTTAACCCCAAGCGTCTATAAAAGTGGTGGTAACATTACTCCTTATAGTGCACCTTTATGCACATTCCGCCTGATATTTCTACGCGTCTAACATTAAATTAAATTAGTAATTTTTCGGAGCGTAGGCGGTCCCATCTTTTTAAACTTTTTTTCGAATTACTGTTAAATGCTTCAAGGTAAATCTAGAAAGACTTCCTTTAGTGTATTCCCCACTTTCCATTACCTCTTCAATTCATCTAATGACGTGATAGTAGCTCAAAGGGCTTCAGCAGAAAAGATTTTAGCCGTATAGGCATCTAATTTATTGTGAAAGACCACTTCTATAGTCCTCCATTTTTTTGATATAATTTAGCTTAATTCAGCCTTAAGATATGTACATATGTTTATAGTACATGTTCATGTTTTTTGAAGCAAGGCTAATAAAGTTCAATGTATTTAGTGACCCTTCTATCTTTCCCAGAGCTACTAAATTTGTTTGCAGCCTGGTTCGCTCCTTCGGGTTCTCAACCCGATCCTTCGCGTTCTCAACCCCCTCCCCCATTGGCTCCTGTGGAAAGGTCTACTATGAGTAAGGCCGCTAGTAATTTTTCGCTATTCTGTGTCCATGTTCTATCCCCTGTGTTCATAAGCTCCAGAACAATGGTACTTAAGAGTGGAATTTTCTTAAAGCTCAGTTATGCAAGACTTAGACCTGCCTTGACTTGAAAATTGTATTTCTGGCAAATGAGCAGCGCGTGTATGTAGTTACTCAAAAAACCAACTTCACTTAGAAACTTGGAGAATAATAGAATTTTGATTTCCAAGTTAAATTTCTAAGTGAAAAGAGAGCCGTGAGAGAATTATGCTGCCATTTCATTTTTTCATAAAATCCCTACAAATATGCGACACAAATATAATTTTTTGTATAAATGTAATTCATCTGGCAATCGAAAAAAAAACTTTCAAATAAAGACAGAAAATTTAATAAAAACAATCACAAATTAAACGGGTAAATACATATATTTTAATAGTAATTTTTAAGGTATTTTGGTGTAAAAACAAACTAAATGTTTAAAATTTACGAGTACATATACAAGTGCTGAGAATCAAAATAAAGAGAAAATGTAATAGGTGACACGCTGAGTAATCACGTCTAAGTTTCTAGGTAAGTCAAGTCAAGTCTAAGTCTTGCACAACCCAGCTTTTAGTCCCGAACGAGCTCACTACATTGCCGCAGAAGCTTTATCATGAGGTTCTCTTAGCTTTTCTTATGTGATCTAATTTTAAGCAGATATTTTTGTATACTCTGGCCAGCTTCACTAATTTTTAAGCTTGCCTCTTGGGCGCTCACAACTGTGGATGTGGTATCTGGGTGGTCTGGGTTTATTGTTGGTCCTTTTCGTTGGTCACAACGAAATAAAAGCTGATATTTGCCAGGTTTCTGAGCATCGAACACTCTTCATAGGCGGCATACACGCGAGTCAGACGCACCGTGTATGCCGCCTATTCACTTTTTTCTAAATAATTAGAAGTGTTCAGCCACTATGTTGAGCCACAAATATTGTTCGGTTAAGTTCAGTAAAACCTTATTTGTCGTCAATACCGGCCTTTTCAACGTTTGTAAAGCCTCCATTAGCTTCGACAGCGATCATTTTTACACAATTGTTGTAGCATATAATACACCTTCTGTCGCCCTTCATTATCATCATAATCATCAAATATTACCCAATTTCTTTTCGCCTCAACGCTGATTCACATATGGATACTCGGCCCATAAATTTTCCCCGTTAACTCTGTGCAAAACAAATCTGAACATATGTACTGCATATTTTTCGATTTCCTAACAATGCGGCCTAAGCAATATGTATACAAAAAATTTTAAGTGTTTGATTTACTTTTATAAACTCCAAGAGAAAAATAAATTTGTAATTTTAAAAATCTTTCATATATTTGAGAAATGACAGGCATTAAACACTTCGTAAAATATACACCAGTTGAAATATTACAATCATTTAAAAGCAGAACTGTGTTTGCCAAAATCTGTTGACTAAGCTGCCAATTAATCAATGGAAAGTTGAAAAAAAAAATATAAAAATGAATTGAAGAATAAGGAAAACTCTCGCAAATACAGTACAGCAACTTTTAATGTTTTTGCAATCAATGAAGCTAATAATTTTTACGGCGGATGCATATGCATGTATGTATGTATGCATGAAATTGGATAAGTATATATATCTATTTGTACGTTAAGGTATATTCTCACATTTACCAAAAAAAAAATATCCAACTGTAAATTCATTGTAGGAAAAACAAGCTTCGTCGAAACCGTTGCCAAGCAAATAAAATTTTATTAAATTTAACAAAATTTATGAATCAGTTAGGGAAACCTGCAAGTTATCCACGGGGCTCCCTAATGTATGTACATATGTGTTTATTTATTTATTTATTTATTTATTTATTTAGTCTACAGAAAAATG